GTGGTTTGGATCAGTTGCTGGTATAATCAGGAAAGGTGGTTGAATTAACCCGTTTGTGCGGGTTATACAGTACCTTATTATTGTGACGGAACGCATCGAAAGACGCAGGTTTTGATGCCTTGTGTATGTATTCGGTTGGTTATTTTGAATCTTTTGCCTTTTCTGAAGCTGTCCCAGTTCTGCGAGGGACTTCTTCTTTAGAATACAGTATCAAATTCACCAGTATGTCCTGTTGAATTTTTAAAAATGTGGTATTGAAAGTGAACTTTCATTGCAATAAATAAAATCCGCACAACATTTTTTATGGGATGGATATTGTAATGGCATGCGGTTGATTCCAATTTTGCTATTTTTTCTCAAAATTATTGGCATAAGCATATTTTTTGAAGTTAAAATAAACATGATATTAAAAACAACAAAGTTTATTATTCTCATTTTAAAACTCTGTACAAACAGTCACAGACAGTATATTGATATCAGTAGTGGTAAACTTTGGCCATTATGTTTTAATTTTTTAGCTTCTCATCATTCAGTACCCTGAAAAATGATCTAAGTACTGCATCTGGATAATTTCAAGAAGCCAAAAAAACATCATTGTGAAAATCAGTATTTTTGCATGTTTTAACAACTCAAGAAATTTATATTCCTGAGCAAAATTGAGACAACCCTAGCTATAATAATGTACAGTATATACAAAATACAGCAGTGCCATTTTTCTTTGGATACTGTATAAGTATAAGTACAAGAATATAAGTTGCTGAATTAGTTTCCTCATCAAGAGTATGTGAATTGTACAATATCCAACTTTTCAAATCGGATTTGACTGCACAATTATTTGACAATTGATGCATACATTATATGTGTAAATATTGTGAAGTACGGTAAAGTATATTATTCATGGTAGAAATCAGCATGGCTCATATAGCCTGCTTTATTCATTCAATTATTCTTCTTTGACCTATTTTAGAAAGGAAAGTTGTCTTGAAAACTGTAATTCATCCTCCATCAGCTAGGGTATTATTTAAAAAAATAGCATTACTGCATTTTGAATAATACTAATTCATTGTCAGCATATTAAATTCACTGAAAATATTTTGAATCACCTTCTCTCTCTGTTGATGGAAGCCCTGAGGGCAAGAATAAGGATTTCTCTCCTTCACCTGTTTCTGAAATCTCTCCAGCTGCTTATGGTCCCTCCTTACATGTTCAGAAATGTGTCCCCCCCTCATTCTGTTCTGCTGAACTGGTTACACTCATGAAGAAATGCGAGGCTTGCGCAGTTGCTGGGCGATCCGCAGACAGGGAACATGAGTTTCCTGTGTATGGGGTTTTTTTTTTTTTAGTGTTGAATGTTCACTCTGTGAGAGCGGAAGTGTTTGTGTCCTCAACCACAAGGTTACTCTCAATAATTGACATCAGTGCCGGAAGTGACACGTATTTTGACAGATGATGAATTTAAACAAATATTGCTGGTTATCCGTTGATGGTGGTTGAACTCACAGTTCATCATTACTATACAGGATTTTGAGTGACTAGAAGATCAAAAGATGAAGATTTTTGTGTGTCTCTATAATCAATTTTTGTAGTGATTTCAATGGTTTTTGGCTCTTCTGTGTGGGTATATAACCATTTTTCAATATCCTTCAGACAGAGATGTCAGTTGCTAAATAACATTTCCAAAAATATATGCTGTTAATTTGAAATGCTATTTCTGCCAATTTTCTTCAGGCATAGATTTTATTGATTGAATTGCAGTTTCAAAAAAATATTTTGTTGGTGTAAGATGATTTTTTGCCAGTTTTCTTTTGACAAAAATGTCAGTTGTTGTACAGTAAAATCTTGTTACAACAAACTTGTGGGGACTTCAGAAAAAGTTTGTTATAATGGATAATTTATTATATTGAGATTTTCAAAATGTTTGACTGGTGGGAAGATTTTCTGAAAATTAAATAACCTGCATACTTTCAACACATTCCTTTTTTGGCTTTTCAAATATTTTTCAGCATTATAAAAAACTTTATCAGAAAATACTGATAAAGTTTTTGAACTCTACTGTCAACATCCTCTTTTTGCGATTTTTTTGGACAGATGTGTAATTTGTTGTACAGTATTTGGTTTTTAAAAATATTCAACTAGTATAAGCACAGCTATTTTGACTGACTTATTTTTATTTGATTCATGCGGAGACCAAATCTTCAGAGGAAAAAAGAAATAAATTTCATAAACGTGCGGAAAATCCACAAAAATGTCACCGAACTTGTTTTTTTGCGCCCTCCCGGATGAATTTTCTTCATGTCAGCGTCATTATTTCGAGACTCGGGGGATGATGAGACACATACGTGTGATTTCGAAAGAAAGAACAAAAAGTTAAATGCCATCTACTTTTTTTTTTTTTATCTCCTATACGTTTTTGGATTAGTTTCTCCTCCGAGGCTTCTATTCAACTGATCCTATGTAAAGACGAAATCTTCGCGTAGATGGAAAAAAATGCGAAGAAGATTTATGCACACACCGAAAAATATGCGAAAATTATCTGCATGCTTCTCACGTGGATCCGATTATTTCCCCTTTACTCATTCACATTCAAAGAGCCTTGGATGAATGGAAGACGTAGATTGATATTGAATGCCGAAAGTCACATACAATATGATTTTTTCTCTTGTTTGTGTGTTATTGGCTCACAGAGGAAAAATCCAGGATGTGGTTTGACGCAAAAAAAATTTCAAAATAGAAAAATCTAATTTTCCTTTTGGAATTTTATAATGAGGTTTTTATGAGAGAATTTCTGGGACCGAAGAAAAAATCGTTCTAAAGGAAAGAAATTGTCATAAAAATTATACAGGACAGTAAAGGAACATCCGTTGTATTTAACAATTCTTATAACGGTAACTTTTTTGAAACGAGATTTTTTATCACAAAATTTCATTTTCATAATATTATACAGACAGATCTTTCATAGTGAAATTCAATGGAACAAAAAATAAAAGAATGAAACGAAATATTCTGAGTTGGAGGAGCTAAAGCTGGACACATTTGCTGCAAATTTTGGCAATTAAATATTGGGCCTTGAAATGTGTTGTGGTAAAGACAACTCATTATTCCTTTTTTTCTGCACAAGAAAAGACAACATTAGAGAAATTTAAATTATATATGTTTCTTTACTTTCAGAGAGGTTTGATTCAAGTATTTCCAACTCTACTGTACTGTACTTCATTTTATTTTCAGACTGTAATAGAAGACTTTTCCAGCATACAGTATTTATAAATCTCTTCCATATATTTAATTAAATTCAAAATTTAAAAATACATTCTTGTTGTGTTGAAACCTGCCTAGCTTCAAATCTCCTAGTAATGCACTGATCTTGGAAAATGAGAGGGAACAAAAGTATATTTGAAAAAAGTGTTTATTTCCTTCAGTAAAGTCACTGATTCATTCCTTGTCCAACTGCACTGTACTGTGCTGTATTTTATTTTCTCCTTGAACAGACAAACACTTTAACCTCTCAAAGTCAAATTTTAAAGGAACTGGCAAAAATAAACTTGAAACCGTTTTCCATTTTGAAAACAGGCATTTTTGCTGTGGGAAACATAGAAGAATTGCAGGAAATTGTGAATGGTGATATTCTGGGCCTTAAATTGCTTCTCAAATAAGTCAACAGATGCTGAAATTTTAGGCAGTGGGTTCATTTGCCCCATTAGTCTTTCACTTCTTTTCAGAACACATCAAGTTACTTTTATTGTTTTTATTTCTCCCTGTGTCAAGGAAATTATAGTCAAAAGGTCTCATAAAATGTCAAGTTATACAGAGGTTTGAGAGGAAAAGTCTTTGAGTTAGAGTCCCTTTTAATGCATTTTTTCCAAGGGAATTCAGACAGGGACTAGAAGAAAAAAATTCGACTTGGAGAGGTTCCACTTATCTAAGTTCAACTACTGTATATATATTTTTTTATTATGTGAGTGGCTACACGTTTCCGCGCGGACTTGACATGATTTAAGCACCGAAGATTTTTTTAAACATTTTTCTTCTGCTTATTGCTATACAGTTCTAAGAGGCTTTAGGCTGACACCTTTTCAATGTCATCACCACCGGTTTGTACTCACTTCTCAGCCCTTTTGATCCATGTGTTAAAAAAACAGGCCTCAAAATGTTCAGTTAGTTCTGTTGAATTTTGAAGCTTCCTCAGCATAGGAACAGCAGCAATAACCAGATGATCCGCGTGGAACCGTGTAACCCCAAGTACAGTGAGACCCCCACATGCGGACACCTTGACCTGCGGACAATTTGACATGGGGATGCTTATTTTATCATAAAAAATTTATAAAAAAGGCCTGACATGAGGACACTGACTCAACATAGGGACATTTTGTTTAAAAATTGCAAATACATTTCAGGCCAAATTACAAGAAACAGATAATTCCAACCGCCTAAAATTCGTGTAAGAAAAGTTCTTGGGCATTTATCTCACCTATTTACCATCCATTTAGCTAATTAAAAAAATTACCTCCAGCAGAGAGGGACTTCCTTCTCTCTTTTTTCACTTGAATATTATTTTTTCAGAGAATGCCAACATTTCTATGTACTGTATACAGAGGTATCAGTATTCAATTCCCCAGATGCCCATATTGTGTTGAAATGTATTGATTGGAATCAGTTTAAAATTGGGAGACAATTTTTATTTTCACGGAATTATGATGAGTATTTTGTACGTAAAACACCAATTAAAAATTATATAATGTAAGTCTAAGCAAAAAATGAGACTCAACTTGAGGACATTTCAACTTAGGGACACTCATTGCACCAATTACGTCCGCATCTTGGGGTCTCACTGTATTCTAGTTTTTTTTTGCCAATTGTACTCCAATATTGTGTCCCGCTGAATAAGTGACGAAATCTTCTCCACAGTTGGTGGAAAGAGAGAGAGAGAGTGGTGGGAAATGCCGGGACGACGCGAGCCGCCGCTTTGGGACACCCAGCACTTGTTCGACCGCGGCGGCGGCGGCGGTGGCGGCAATAATAACAATAATAATAACAACAACGCCGCCGCTGGCCCCAAGGTCCCCGCGTTGTTGGGCAAGTACCGCCGCGTGAGTGTACCCGCTTTGATGGTCGGGGCCAATGGTCCCGAGCACCACCACCGCAACCACAACCACCACTTGTCGTCGTCGGGCCAACAACAACAACAACAACAACACGTGCTTGGCAACACTGTCGCCAGTATTTCCGAGTCCAGAGCGTTTCCTACGGGCATGTTGAGCCACGCGTGGCAGCGTCCGTTGCCGCCACTGAGTCCGATCGCCGCCGGCTTGGCGTCGTCGTCGTCGTCGGCTGTGGGGGCGGCGGGTTGCGGCGGCGACCCCGGGTCGTCGGCGACCAATAAGTCGTCGACGGCGTCGTCGGCGCTGCGGAAAATCAGCGCGACGACTCAGAGGAAGTTCAGCACTGTCACGGACGCCGTGTCGCGAAAGGTGAGTTACTCTTGTTATATTTTTTTTACAGGAAAATCTCGTTAAACAAATAACAAATACAATGACAGCAATACCGTGTCGGTGGAACTCGCCACTGAACTGACTAAAAATTCAGGAAAAAAAAAGAAATTCCCACATTCTTCCACTTCTTAACTATAGGCATAAGGACATGATTTAATCTCATTCATCTGGAATTTTATTGTCTTACTCTGTTAAAATTGAAATATTTCTTTTCTTTGTGTGAAAGACAGTATTCCAAAAACTAATAATTCAGTTGAGGGATGGCATATAGTACTTTTAAAATCTCGTTTTACAATAACAAATACCATGACAGCAATACTGTGTCAGTGGAATTCGCCACTGCACTGACTAAAAATTCAGGAAAAAAAAAAGAAATTCCCACATTCTTCCCGTTCTTAACTATAGGCATAAGGACATGATTTAATCTCATTCATCTGGGGTTTTATTTTCTTACTCTGTTAAAATTGAAATATTTATTTTCTTTGTGTGAAAGAAGGTATCCCAAGAACTAATAATTCAGTTGAGGGATGGCATAGCACTGTTATCTTAACTCGTTGTGTTAAATATATTCCTTGGTTGCGTCAATAAATCAAACACTTGATTTATACAAAATATGAATATATGATATATTTTCTTTGGTATTCTAAATCACACTCATATTCCAAACACACACAAACAGAGTCAAGACAATATAAGTAAATTAAAGAAGTCTTGCTAAATTATTGCAAGTCTCCTTGAGAACAATTGCGAGAGTCTCAGGTTTGATTCTCAGGTAAGATTCTTCGGAGGAATTGCAGTGAGAGCAGAAATATATAGGCTTTTGGAAATTGGGATCATGACATGATTCCAGATTCAGAGATGAGTATCCAGGTCTTGGGGCCAGGATGTGTGTCTCAGGAACTAGTGCAGAATATAATCAAAGAAGGAGAAACCAAATTTAGAGAACAGTCATTACCATTTGTAACTGTCACCAGCACTTTTAAGGGTTCACTGCAGTGTTCAAAGCCCTCAGTTTGGAAATTAATTAATGCGTTGAATCAGGAGGAAGCATACCAGAGAAATGTGTATGCTTAAGTAAAAAAAAAGGAATTCAGCCTTATGAACTAAGGAAAAATACATATTAAAGTAACCGGAAGTATTCAAAGTTTGCCAGACTCACATGAGTCAACAAAGCTTATTGTTTCTCAAGTCCCTGCAGGAAGCCCATCTGTATAATGAAACTAATTTGTTCCTGAATGATTTTAGTCTTGTTTTCCATGGCTTGAAATCAAAGGGTAAAATATTTTCCTGCTCATTTCCCTGAACTGAAAATTGGAAACAATTTCCATGTTGGATTTCTTTTGTTGATTTAGGGAAATATGTTAAACCTTTGAATTTTGTATTTCAAGAATAACTTTTTCTGTGAGCTGAATTTTTTCTTGTAGAATCCATTACTAAATTACTTGATTTATTTAATGTATGCCAGTGTACTGATTTCAAGTTGGCATGTATGCTCATTTTCTCTCTTGACCTAAACTCAAGGTTTTTTTTTTTAATTTGAGTTGGAGTGCAAAGCAACCAACTTGACCTTGCTATCTGTTGCGCAACTCTTCTGTCCAAAACCAGTCTGCTTTAAAATTCTGGAATTTAAATTATGGCATTTTATACTGTGCCCCTAAAGCAAGTACTGACTTCATCTTTGATGTATCCACAAGATTTTTCTATCAATTGGAGAATGTTTCCTTGTATGGGGAATACTGTGAATATATTTCTTTGAAGTTGGATGGGAACCCCTGCCTCAAAGTTCAGCATCCTTTCAACTCATTTTAGAAGCTATTGAAGGCCCAGAATATTACTGTTTACAATTTAGTGCAATTCTATGTTTCCCACAACAAAAATGCTTGGTTCCACAGCTCAAACATCCATAACTCAAAGCTTCCCTCTTGGTCAAAACCCTCTGTAAGTCAATTTTTTTTTTTGCTGGTCCCTTGAAATTTGACTTGGAGTTGTTGAAGATATTTTCAAGTGTAATAACTACGGTAATTGCTTTTTTTTATAGGTTTCCACAACTATTTGGGGTTTGGCTGGTGGCTCTGGAATAGTTGGCACTGGCTATTATGGCGGTGGGACGCCCAATCTTAAGCACATGGAAATTGCCAGCCAAAGCAAAACCCTGGCCAGTCAGTACATCAGAGCCAGACTGAAGCGCAGTGGGTTTTTCCACTTGCGCAAATTAGTTGGACTCCAGAGACTGCGCAGTCTTGCCAACATTCCTGGCGGGATTGTCATTTGTGAGGCAAGCCTTTAATTCACAGCATGATCATATTTTCTTTATGAGTATAGGGTCGTGGCTAAAAAAAAGTCAATCTATTCCCCAGAAGCGTTTTTCAGCTGAATTGTTCTTTAGCTGATATCACATCCCCCCCCCCCAAAGATAATGGAGAAGTCATTTCAATTGGTCCTAGAACCTTGAAAGAGCCCATGGAAATGGGAAATTCCAACTAGCGTTGTTATTTCCTTACACTCAAGAACAGTTTTATAGAAAATGTTGGATATTTCTCTGCTGAGCACTTCTATAAAGCCCATATGTTTTTTTTACAAAAGAAACCAAAAAGAATGATACCAACTGTACTTTAGTTGGGTGGAAAGTTTGTTACAAAATGTATCTAAATTGAGTACACATTAGTGCTGCAAAAATGAAATTGGAGGCCTTTTCCAAGACACATTTGTTCAAAATAAAATGCAAATTACCAAATACAAACCAAGATTGTGGAAAAAGCCAAGCTGGTCCAAGAGAAAACTGAACTTTTTGGAGGTAAAAATTTTACCATATCTGTGTTTTTAGCCAAGGATCAAACAAAAGTGTTCAGATCAAAAGTTTGTTACTGGAGACCCCAACTGTATTAGAACTCCTTTATATATATATATATACTAGCTATATATACTAGCTATATATACTAGCTATATATATATATATATTTTTTTTTTTTTTTTTTCAGGTTTTCCATGAACTTCTGGCTTTGGGACAAGAGCTGGAGCGGATGCATCCCAAGCTGTATTCATCTGGTAAGTTACCATACTTTTATTTATTAACAAGGATCCTGCAATTGGTTTTTCAATTTAAAATNCATGATTTAATCTCATTCATCTGGGGTTTTATTTTCTTACTCTGTTAAAATTGAAATATTTATTTTCTTTGTTTGAAAGAAGGTATCCCAAGAACTAATAATTCAGTTGAGGGATGGCATAGCACTGTTATCTTAACTTGTTGTGTTAAATATATTCCTTGGTTGCGTCAATAAATCAAACACTTGATTTATACAAAATATGAATATTTGATATATTTTCTTTGGTATTCTAAATCACACTCATATTCCAAACACACACAAACTCTCAGTTCTGTTATATTCATTTAATTTCTTCAGAACGATTTAATAACGTTCAGAGGAACTCTTGTTAACGCTCTCAGAGTCCAAACTAAGAGTCCATTCTAAGAAGCCTCCTTAACGTCACTCTCGCGAAATATATAGGCTTTCAGACATTGGGATCATGACATGATTCCAGATTCAGAGATGTGTATCCAGGTGTTGGGGCCAGGATGTGTGTCTCAGGAACTAGTGCAGAATATAATCAAAGAAGGAGAAACCAAATTTGGAGAACAGTCTTTACCATTTGTAACTGTCACCAGCACTTTTAAGGGTTTATTGCAGTGTTCAAAGCCCTCAGTTTGGAAATTAATTAATGCGTTGAATCAGGAGGAAGCATACCAGAGAAATGTGTGTGCTTCAGTAAAAAAAAAGGAATTCAGCCTTATGAACTAAGGAAAAATATACATTAAAGTAACCAGAAGTATTCAAAATTTGCCAGACTCACATGAGTCAACAAAGCTTATTGTTTCTTAAGTCCCTGCAGAAAGCCCATCTGTATAATGAAACTAATTTGTTCCTGAATGATTTTAGTCTTGTTTTCCATGGCTTGAAATCAAAGGGTGAACTATTTTCCTGCTTGTTTCCCTGAACTGAAAATTGGAAACAATTTCCATGTGGGATTGCTCTTGTTGATTTAGGGAAATATGTTAAACCTTTGAATTTTGTATTTCAAGAATAACTTTTTCTGTGAGCTGAATTTTTTCTTGTTGAATCCATTACTAAATTACTTGATTTATTTAATGTATGCCAGTGTACTGATTTCAGGTTGGCATGTATGCTCATTTTCTCTCTTGACCTAAACTCAAGGTATGTTCTTAAATTTGAGTTGGAGTGCAAAGCAACCAACTTGACCTTATTGCTATCTGTTGCGCAACTCTTCTGTCCAAAACCAGTCTGCTTTAAAATTCTGGAATTTAAATTATGGCATTTTATACTGTGCCCCTAAAGCAAGTACTGACTTCATCTTTGATGTATCCACAAGATTTTTCTATCAATTGGAGAATGTTTCCTTGTATGGGGAATACTGTGAATATATTTCTTTGAAGTTGGATGGGAACCCCTGCCTCAAAGTTCAGCATCCTTTCAACTCATTTTAGAAGCTATTGAAGGCCCAGAATATTACTGTTTACAATTTAGTGCAATTCTATGTTTCCCACAACAAAAATGCTTGGTTCCACAGCTCAAACATCCATAACTCAAAGCTTCCCTCTTGGTCAAAATCCTCTGTAAGTCAATTTTTTTTTTTGCTGGTCCCTTGAAATTTGACTTGGAGTTGTTGAAGATATTTTCAAGTGTAATAACTACGGTAATTGCTTTTTTTTATAGGTTTCCACAACTATTTGGGGTTTGGCTGGTGGCTCTGGAATAGTTGGCACTGGCTATTATGGCGGTGGGACGCCCAATCTTAAGCACATGGAAATTGCCAGCCAAAGCAAAACCCTGGCCAGTCAGTACATCAGAGCCAGACTGAAGCGCAGTGGGTTTTTCCACTTGCGCAAATTAGTTGGACTCCAGAGACTGCGCAGTCTTGCCAACATTCCTGGCGGGATTGTCATTTGTGAGGCAAGCCTTTAATTCACAGCATGATCATATTTGCTTTATGAGTATAGGGTCGTGGCTAAAAAAAAGTCAATCTATTCCCCAGAAGCGTTTTTCAGCTGAATTGTTCTTTAGCTGATATCACATCCCCCCCCCCCCAAAGATAATGGAGAAGTCATTTCAATTGGTCCTAGAACCTTGAAAGAGCCCATGGAAATGGGAAATTCCAACTAGCGTTGTTATTTCCTTACACTCAAGAACAGTTTTATAGAAAATGTTGGATATTTCTCTGCTGAGCACTTCTATAAAGCCCATATGTTTTTTTTACAAAAGAAACCAAAAAGAATGATACCAACTGTACTTTAGTTGGGTGGAAAGTTAGTTACAAAATGTATCTAAATTGAGTACACATTAGTGCTGCAAAAATAAAATTGGAGGCCTTTTCCAAGACACATTTGTTCAAAATAAAATGCAAATTACCAAATACAAACCAAGATTGTGGAAAAAGCCAAGCTGGTCCAAGAGAAAACTGAACTTTTTGGAGGTAAAAATTTTACCATATCTGTGTTTTTAGCCAAGGATCAAACAAAAGTGTTCAGATCAAAAGTTTGTTACTGGAGACCCCAACTGTATTAGAACTCCTTTATATATATATATATACTAGCTATATATACTAGCTATATATATATATATATATATATATATATATATATATATATATTTATTTATTTATTTAATTATTTTATTTTATTTTTTATTTTTTGCCAGGTTTTCCATGAACTTCTGGCTTTGGGACAAGAGCTGGAGCGGATGCATCCCAAGCTGTATTCATCTGGTAAGTTACCATACTTTTTATTTATCAACAAGGATCCTGCAATTGGTTTTTCAATTTAAAATGTAGGCCAAAGCTAAAAAAAATCACATAGATGATCAATTCGTTTACAAATATAAAAATAAGAAATGACATGAATCTAGATACAGTACTGTATTAACATGTCAAACCTCCCCAAGTCAAATACCTCCCTAATTCAAATGTTTTTAGGTCCCTGTTTGAATTCCCTTGAAAACAATGCATTAAAAACCTACCTAATGTAAAGGCTTTTCCTATAAAACCTCCATGAGTCATAATTTTTAGGCATTTAAGTTATTATTTTATTGAAATAGGAAAGAAAAAGCAGTAAAAATTGAATTGCTTTGAAAAAATGTGACAGACTAAATTGGACAAATGAACCCCTGCCTCCAAGTTCATCCTGTCAACTCATTTGAGAAGGAACTAAAGACCCAGAATATCACAATATACAATCAAGTGCGCTTCTTGAATGTTTCCCACAATAAAAATGCTTGATTCTATAAGTCAAAAATCTTTACTGTAATTCTATATACCGTATTTAATTGAGTATCACGTGCACCTTTTTTCCCAAATTTCAGAAGAAAAAAGGGGTGCGCGTCATAAGCAGGTACAACATTTTCAAGAAGTTTTAGGAAGTTATGTGTGCATTACACTTGATTATTATGGAGAACTTTGGAGCAAATATAAGAAGAAAACATTTTTGTACTGAAAAAGTTGAAAATTGATCAGATTTTTGTTCATTTCACGCCTAAAGTCAAATTTTTGGTTTCTATTTTTGAAGTTTTATGGTTTTAGATTCACTAAAAATTGGGGTGCACGTCTTACTTGGGGATACGATTTTTGCAAAATTTTCAAAAGAAAAACCCCTGTGCGGGCCTTACTCGAGGGCTCGTGGCACTTGAGTAAATACGGTAACTCAAAACCTCCCTAAGTCAATTTTTTTTGCTGGCTCCTTGAAATTTGACTTAGAGAGGTTTAACTGTGATAATATTTTTATTCATTCCAGTTGAGAAGATACTTTAAACATGACACTAAAAAAATATAAATGCAGTATAAATACAGGTGGACTGCATTCTGAGACACTTAAAAATGCCCATTTTGAAAAAGTTATGTGTATGCTGTGCATAAGAAAGAGATTTCAGTTTGTAGGCAGCTGTCCATCACTGTCACGTCGGATAAGGTGCTGAGAAGTGTGTTGATCGCGATCGCGGCCGAGTTGTTCAAGGCGGACATCACTTGGAGTCGGATTGTTTCACTGTATGCGGTGAGCAAGCAAATGAAAATGGAAGGGGGGCCACATTTTTTTTGTGTGTGTATAACGAGGGTTGGTTCGTAAGCTTTGAGACCTTTTTTTTTAAATACTGTAGATTCAAGGGAGTTTCAACAATTTCATGAGAAAAATTGTACTCGCAAATAGCCCCATGATTTGACAACACTTTATTGTGGTTCAACACATTCTCTGCTGATTTCAATGCATTTTTTTCTTCATGCAATAAACCTAACTGGATTTTTGGCACTGTTTTGAACTTTTGATTGTTGGATTTATCGCATGAAAACAATTCCAAAACAGTTTCAACAAATCCAAGCAAAATTTTAATCGCACACCCCAATTATTTAGCAACACTTGAATCTTAATTACAGTGCCTTAAACGTATTCTCTGCTGATTTCAATACATTTTTAATGCAATTAGCATAACTCGATTTTTGGCAATGCTTTGTATTGTTAGATTTGTTTTGAACAGCTCTGAAGCGTTGCCAAATGATGGTGTTACTTTACATGAGTTTAAAAAAAATTGTTGAAACTCTGTTGGGTCTAATTCAAAAAAGTCTCAAAACTTATGAACCAAACCTCATACATATGCAGTATTTTTATGTGTTTGTGTGTGTGTGAGGAAATCATATGGAAACCTTATTCAGAAAGGTTATTTCCCTGGTTTTCCAGGTTACTGGTGGGCTTGCTGTGGATTGTGTGAAACAGGGACATCCTGAGTTTTTACCAGCTCTGGTTGAGGCTGTTGGGGACATAATGGAGCAAGATCTGGCTGCTTGGATTGTTTCTCAGGGAGGATGGGTGAGTTTCTGACCCCCTTTTCTGATTTTATTTTATTTTTACTCATAATTCTTTCATTTGCATTAAAGTAAATTGGGGTCCTCAGATGATAACTTTTCAGCATGTTTGGATAATATTTTCCATGCATAGTACAGTTAATTTAATTGTGCAAATTTGCATCATTTCTCATGTTTGGCAAACAATTGAAAAATTTCTGCAATAATTTTGATATTACAGTACAAGTTGTACCTTGCAATTTGACAGTCAAATTTGCTGGGCATTGACTTGCAATGTGACCCTTTTGCTGTGCAATTCTACCTGCAAAGAGACTCAAAAATATCAAATTTGTCTTACAAAACATTGAATTTTACATTGTCTTGCAATTTGACTGCTTTGCAATTTAACCCTTGCCCTGCAGCAGAGTAGGGTCAAATTTTGGGCCCCCACATGTATTATGTTTTGTAACTTCAAATTGTGACAAGGATTTCAGGCTGAACTTGGAGGTTGGTGTAAATATACCCAAATAGTCATTCACTCCAATAGCACCAAGTTGCACCTTTATTCAATTTTTTTGGTCCTTGGTCCCAAGAATAATACTCTAAAATGCAACTCAAAAATTCAATTTTTTGAGGTTTGAGGGGAAAGTTTGTAAGTTGGAGAGGTCTGTATTAAATTGCTCTTTAGGGATTGTAAATGAGGGCTTAGCAAAAATTTAACAGATTTTTGGCTTGGTCAGCTTATCAAGGTCCAACTGTATTTCTTAGTTGGTTTTTAGCCTCAGCATTTTTTTTCAAAAGACTAAATTCCCTGTTTTAAACATATGTCCTCAAAATTTTAAAACAATTTAATTATTTTAATCTTTAAATTTAATTGTTTTAATTTTGAATCATTGCACTTTTACAGGCTGGCCTGCTGATCCTTTACAAAGACCCCGAAAACGAACCTTCCATGGTGCACAGCTTGGTTGTATTGATCATGATCATTGTGATCATATTTAGTATTCTGTTCTTGGGCTTTTCTATACCAAAGGCGACCAGATTTGTATTGTCGAGCTAATTTTCGAAACGGAGCACAACATTAATGATGTATTCCACAATTCTGTGACGAACCTTTTTTTATTTTGGGTTAAATTATTTTAAATAATGTCGGATCGGGATGAATAATAAAACGCTTTTTACTTTCATCTACTAAATTTAACATGTGTTTGTATTTTTTTTTACGGCAAATGAAAAATGCTGATGATGGAACGAATGTCAATGAATCAAACACCGTTTGAACCTTCGAGATTTTCGGATGCAAAACTGAACGCTTTTTTGGAATTTTAAGTAATGTCAATAAATAAAATGTCTTTTGAACATGAAAAATATCCTGATATAAAACCGACACTACGTTGCATCATCGGTGTTTTTGTTGTTTTTGTTGCTGTTCAAGTTTCAGTTGTTTAAAAAAAAGCATTTCTGTTGGTTTATTGTATCATCATGTGATTAAAAATAAATGTCGGATTCCTGTGAGAATTATTCTCTAGATTTTGATAAAAGTGCTGCAGGGCTGAAAATTCCAGCTGTACCATGAAGTGCGGATGCGTGGACCTTGAGGTCAGTTGAAAATTCTTTCTGATCTCAGAAATTCCAACAGTAATTGTGTATATTTGTAATATTTTAATTTTGTCATGACAGAGCCGAGAACATGCTTACATGCCGAGTCATTGGGCGAGTTCTGACCTGGATCCAAATGAAGTCATCACCAGACACATTAATCATGCTGTCAAATGTAAGTTGTCCTCCTTATTTGTTTTGTTGTCCATTAAATAAAACAACTTCAATTATTATAAAAATATTTTATTCACAACAAACAAGGGTTTGAACAATCTTTGACAAAAATAACAGACAGGTATTTAAGAGAATCTTGTTAAACGTACACAAGGTTCTCTGAGATGTAACCGCAGTTGACAACTGTGCATATCGAAAGCATGCATTTATTTTCAAACCTGAAGATAATTCCTTTGGCCAATGAAAAATCCATTTTGAACACTCAGATTTTTGATGGAGAATACTTTTCAAATACATCATAATTATGTCTTGTTTGTTGCTTGTTTGAATGCTATTTGTAATGATTATAGACTGTCAAAGAGTGCTGAAAATGCACACTGAGAATAAGCCTCACATTTATTTTCAAACCTAAAATAAACTCCTTTGGCAAAAAATAATAATTCTGATCAATCACAGTTTTCCACCTGAATTATTTTTAAACGCTTGAAATTTAAGTCGTTTTTTTTAATGCTAGTTTTATAGTCTTTTCAAGAAAAAGTGAAAATAGGAATTGACCTGCATTACATTTATTTTTAAGCTTGGAGAAAATTCCAGTAGTCGAAAAATTAATTCTCAACGCTTATTGGTGGGAAATAATTTTCAAACGCAGTCAATTGAAGTCAATCTCATTGTTTATTGTAATTATATTTTTATAGACTGTTGAAAAAAGACTGAAAATATGCATTGACTCGCATCACATTTATTTACAACCCTTCAAAAAATCTATTGGCCAAAAAATTAATTCTCAATGCTTGTGAGGTTTGATGAGGAAATAATTTTTAAACGCAGCCAATTGAAGTCATTCTCGTCGCTTGTTTTACTACTGTAATTTTTTTTAATGACTTTTAAAGTAAAACAGAAAATATGCGTTGAACCGCATGAAATTTATTTTAACATTTCTTTTGCAGGAAAATTCATTCTGATCAATTACAGTTTTTGGCAGGAAATTATTTTTAAACGCATCAAATGTTAGTCTTTCACGTGACTTGTTTTAATAATATTTTTATGGACTGTTGAAGAAAGAGAGAAAATATTAATGGATTCGCATGACATTTATTTTCAAGATTGCGGGGAATTCATTGTCCAAAAAATTTATTCACGGCCATTAAACTTTTCACGGGAAATGATATTAAACGCATTAACACACTTTCTTCAAGAGGTTAAAAATTCTGGGAATATCTTCCGGAATCTTATGGACTCACAATAACTTTTAGTGTCCCATATACAAGTGTATTATAATTTTTTTCAACATATATACCGGAATAGAAAGGTCAAAGTCATCTTATTCCTTCCCAATTTTTTTTTTTTTTGCTTCCGTCGTTTCTGATTCATGTATGCTAATTTTATGGATGTATGGAAGGAAGCGTCCCGTTTCTCATCTTATTTCTTTGCTCCGTTTTCGTAGAAATGAGAATTCGTAAAGAATGTTCAACAGTTATTGTGATATGGATATAGATTCGGAAGAAGCCAGAAAATCCGTTCCATGTCGCTTGGATTTATCTTATGGTTCCGAGCCGAGACAGAAAATTGACATTTATGGAGAAGACGGGCTCGCATCCGGTAAGAAATATATTTTTATATTTTAGCGTTTTTTGTTTTCTTATCGTGGTGTTTTTTTTTTCTTCTCAACGATATGTTTTAGATGCTCCGGTTGTCCTGTTTATTCACGGCGGATATTGGCAGGAACTGAACAAAGAATTGAGTGCTTATTTTGCTAAATCGTTTTTCGAGGGAGGGATTATTACAATTGTGGCGGATTACACACTTGCTCCGGAAGGCAAGTTTAATTTTGAACTATTGTGGCCTTTTTTCTACTTTTTTTCATTCATTTTTTTTTTTTTTCCAGCTGATATGGACCAAATTGTTGGAGAAATGACGAAGTTGGAGAAATTCGTGGATGAATGGGCGAGAAAAAGAGAATCTAGGTCAGTTGGCTTTTTTTAAATTTCAGTCATACCATTTGTGGGATGATACTGTCAATAATTATAATAATAATTATAATTATAATATAATAATTATATATTAAAATATTATATTATATTGTATAATATTATACTGTATTATATTGTATAATATTATACTGTATTATATTATATGATACAATATAATTATATTATACAATATAATTATATTATACAATATAATTATATTATACAATATAATTATATGATACAATATAATTATATGATACAATATAATTATATTATAATAATAATTCTGAAGGGTTTTGTGTAAAATTGGTCCCATATTTAGGGAAGTGAAAATAATTTGAACTTACTTGTCAGAGTGTTGTCAAGAGACTAAAAAATACCTGTGGTTTGTCAGTTTTTTCCCTCATTGTCATTTCTTTGGTCTGAAGAACCAAAGTAAATTTAGACTGCAGACCAGAGTATTTAAAAATTGTGAAATTATGGCCCTCATGAGTATCATGACATCCATTCTTTTTAACAAAGCTCAACTGTGTGAAGTTTGTTGACATGCACTGAAAGTTATTCAAGGACTGCAATTCTAGGCCAAGATCTGTTTTAAACTATTGAAAAATAAGGCTGGTGATAGAATAATGATTTTTTTATTTGAATCAAGGATCAATTTTTTTTTATCTAGAAGCTCATGGCTTGGCATAAAATTAAGCTTTTGTTTTCATTGGGCCCCTGAATTGGGTAGAATGGTGAATTACTCTGTGATCAAAGGTAGTTTTTGTTTATTTTAATTTTTTCCATAAAAAATGGGATCAGATATTTTATATATTTTTTGGATTCAATTCTCCTGAGTTGAATGTGTCTATAAACTTTCCTTGACAGAGGTTTTTTTTAATTATTGGAATATAGGTCTTTGACAATTGTGGGCCATTCTGCTGGTGCTCACTTGGCAGCCATGATGATTGCCAACAGTGAACATCTCCATTCTCTGGGAATTTTAAAAGGCGCATTTTTGATATCTGGATTGTTCGATCTTTTACCCGTTCTGGAAACATCGGCTAACGAACCTTTGCAGATGGACAAGTGAGTCATTTTGGTCATTTTTTAATTTAGGCCTAACATGAATTTCAAGATTCCTTTTAACGCAAAGTAAAATGCAAACTGATTTAAGAATCACGGACATCTGAAGTATATTCTGCTAATAACCGTAAAATACTGTATTTTCTTTAATTTTCCATTTGAAGGAAAAGACGAAAGGATATGTTTAATTTTCAAGGACAAAGGATGATTTTGAAGATCATCTACCAGCGTTTTGATCAGATTTAATTGTCTTCAAATTGTGTTCCCTGTTACAAATTTGTAATTGATAAATTGATAATAAAAAAATTAAAATTAAAAATAATTATTTAATAAATAAATAATTGAAAAATTAATACTGTATTTAATAAATAAATAATTGAAAAATTAATACTGTATTTAATAAATGAATAATTTAATAATTAATATTTAATAAGTCAATATTTAGTAAATTAATATTTAATGCATTAATATTGAATAAATAAAACTTTTTAAATAATATTTAATAAATAAATAATTAAAAAATTAATATTTAATAAATAAATGATTTAAAAATTAATATTTGATACATAAATAATTTAAAAATTAATATTTAATGAATAAATAATTTAAAAATTAATATTTAATGAATAAATAATTTAAAAATTAATATTTAATAAATTACTAAATGAAAAATTATTGCTTACGTTGCTTAATTATTTTTCTCATTAGAGAAAAAGCGAAGAAAAACAGCCCAATTAATCGGCTGGACCAGCTGGAAAAATGGACAGACATTGATTTTCGAATCGTTTTGGCTGAACGTGATCCTCCTGCATTTTCTGCGGAACAAAGTTTGCCATTTCACGAGGGGCTTCGAAATCTTGGATTGAAAGCGGATTTTCAAATAATTCCCGAGACGAATCATTTTACGATTGTGGAAAATCTCTCTTCGTTGGATGACGTCCTGACTCGTGAGATCATCGCTGTTGCTTTTGGCAACTGATTCTATGTACGAAGTGCTGGGTGATTTTATTGCGTTTTTAATTGGCTGAAGTTAATTATCTTGATCCGAGTAATTGGTGATTGGCATTTAAAAAATTTTGAGTCCTTCCGGTTCGCGGCAATGACGTAAGAATTTTTTTTTTAATCAAAAAAGCTTGTATTCTTTGGTGTTTGATTCCAAGTTGAATTCGTGTGAAGTTTTTCAGAGCGTTTAACAGTTTTGGTGGTCTTTTGATAAAATCTGATTCAAGGTGGCTTTCGCAATTAAAAATCTGATTGAATCTCTGCGGGTTTTCGGCATTTGGGTGAAAATATTGTGCATCAAAATGCTTGTGTTCCTCGATCTTTTGATTCGAATTCAGAAGTGTTTTCGAAGTTTTTGTCCGCGTTTGGAATGAATCCGAATCGGATTGAATGTTTTTTTTTTTGGGGGCAATTTCATTCTCATAAAGATGTTTGAAATGATTATTTTTCTCACAATTTTTTGGATGTATTTTTCGCACAATTTATAGGAATACGATGCTGAGGTGTCGAGCAAATCCGAGTGAGAGTTTTCGTTCCAGAGTGCCACGATTTTTCGTGTTCTTTTGCGCGATAATTTGCGTTTTTCTGTGCGAATCATTATGTGAAGCTCGAGATGACGACATCATCGAATATTCCATTGGAAACGCCGTGGTTCTCGAAGGTTCGTCCTTTTTCAATTAAATTTTTTTTGATACGGTAATTACTCTTGACATACTTCCCTAATACCATATTAAATATACCTTGCGGACCGGAAATTTACCAGGCGATTTTCAAACAAGGCCATTAAAAAAATTGACCCCAATTTCATTCTCGTGAATTTTAAAAATATATCTGTGTAAGTACGTCAGGATTATATATTGGGGAAAAACGGAATTATGCCATGAACTATAGGGCTCCACTTTTTCATGGGAATCCAGCGTTTTTATTTGCTGCGGGGGGAAAAGGAACGGGTCTATCCATCAGCCTTCTGTCAGAATAAAAGTGGGTTCCATGATTCAAAATTACAGTGCATTGACTTTTTTTTTTGTTTTATTCCTCCGACTGTCTGTCATGTTATATGGGGTTCATGAACTTCACGGTTTTAAAATGAGCTTTATTTGAACAAAAATATTTTATTCCACTTGAGAGCAATCAAATATTTCCATGCGTCCTCATTTCTTTGTGGGGGAATTTTATTTGAAGATTCGAAGTGTCTTGTTTTATTGTGCGGTTCATCTTGAATTGAATTTTAAAGTTGAGAATTTGTCTCAACTGAGA